TGGGCTAGGCTACCTCGAATGGCATGAGCCACATGTGGGGAGACCTGCACGTATGGTTTTTAGGGGGATCTAGTCGAAAGACCGGCTTATTTTTATAGATCTAAGCAAGATGGGCGTGGTGATATGATAGGGGTCTTTGAAAGGGAGAAATAACTTAAGAAGCTTAAGGGGCTAGCTAAATACGACTACAGGCATCTAAGATTTTGGGTTGGGGGGATAAGGGAGTGAGTGCAAGACCTTGAAATGTGGTTCTTAGTCCCATAGGTCTAGAGCACGATCACGACTTCCATGGGGATGGTGCTTATAAAGTTATAGATCTAAAGTCTGTAAAAGTATAGGCATATCTTATATGGAATGTTTTGAAGGCAATGGGCGAGGAAGGGTAGCATAGCTAGGAAGGAGACTGTCAGCAAGTAGCAAAGACATCTACGGATCCAACTGGGTCAGGTCGAGAATGTGTCGAAATGGTGCTTGCATTGTGTTTGATGCCTGACCTTAGGGACCATTCTCACTTGAAAAAATCGCTCGCTAGCCGGCTTGGGTTTAAGGCCCGTTCCTCTACTGTCGTTCTTGGAATTTCCTCGATCTTCTCTTTGGCAGGTTGGTCCATAACTCTTGTGATTCCTTCCAAAACTAGTTTTTCTCTTTTGGTATGATATTTCTTGTGGTAAGGGTTCTTCTTTAGCAATTAAGCCTCCTTAATAAGAATGTAATTCCAAAGAAAAAGATGAGAAGGAAGACTTTTAGTTGTTGAATGCAAGCTTTGAGCAGCGACTGGGTGCTTAGAGTGCCCAAATGGGCGCCTAGGCGCCAAGAAACAAATTTTTGGACCGAAAGTGAAGCTGTCGCTCGCTTAGCACCTGGCTACCGCTCGAGCACTGCGCATTGGTTGCCTGGTGCGAGGTTACTATTCGAGCGACACCGTTATTTGAAAAAAATTGTTTTTGTTTTTATGGCTTGTTTTTAACCTTCTTTCTATCTAAAATATATTCTTTTGGATCCTATATATACTTCACGAATTGTATGGCTTTTATATGACTTTGTATGAGTTTCAGAGAATAAGACAATATTATAAACACAATATTCTTTGTGTTCTTTCTCCATTATTAATGAATTCTTTATTTCTCTGTCAAAGTTTGTGTTGTGATCGCTATTTCATATTGTGCCATATAATCTCTTTCCTTAATTTATAACAAGTGGTATCAGATACTAAGTTTTATTTTCCTCGAGGTTTTTTGGTTCTTGTGATGGCAATCATGAAGTATGATATTTCGCTTACAATTGCAGTAGTAGATTCTTGTTGTGACAAGTGAAGATGCAAGCAGTGCTTGCTCAGATGGACTTGGACGACGATTTGTTGGGATTTGATAGGATGCCCTAAATTGGTTAATGGAGGGAAACAACGTAAGGATTGAAAGGTCTTGTCACAAATTCATCATCTTTCGAATCATATTCTTCAAGACGTTTTGAAGAAGAAAATTGCAGCTGCATTATGGTTGAAGTTGGAGCAATTGTGCATAACTAAAAGCCTAACCAGCATCTGAAACAACGTCTGTATTCTCATTGCATGACGGAGGGTACATCACTTGAAGAACAACTTGCTGTCTTTAAAGAAATTGTCATTGTTTTATAAACTTGGAGGTTAAGTGTGATGAAGAGTATTTGTGTTTGATTTTGTTATGTTCATTGCCCTCTTCACCATTGAAGATGTATATGATGCTTTGTTTTTAAAAGAGAAGATAAAGCGTCCTGTGTGATCTGAGGTTCATGGAGAAGGCCTTGTTCATGGTGGTTATGAGAAGGACAGTTCAAAATCTAACTTTCAGTAATAAAATTTGCAACTATTGCAAGAAAAAGGGGTACATAAAGAAGGATTGTTGTAAGTTGTAGGATAGAGAAAAATTGGTTGCAATTGAGAAGTGAAAGCAACTAGAAACTTCAGGTGAAGCTGACGTCGTAGAAAATTGCTACATTTGTGGTGAACTTTTGGTTATTTCTGACGATGACTCCCTATGTGACGGAGATTGGAATCTTGATATAGTTTGCACTTTTTACGTGTCTCAATCGAGATTTGTTTTTAACATATGAAATAGTTTCAAAAGGTGTCGTAGTAATAGGTAATAATGAATCTTGTAAAATAGCGAGTATTGGAAGGGTCAGAATTAAGATGTTTGATGGGATGGTCATAGACTTGAGACAATAAGATGAGAAATGTTACAGATTTGAAGAGAAATCTTATTTCCTTAAGTACTTTTGATTTAAAAAGGTACAAGTACACTGGTGAGAGTGGAGTCTTGAAAGTTACTAATGGTGCTCGTGTTGTGTTGAAGGGGCATCAAAGGTTCTAGTTGTATGTCTTGCGAGGTTCTTCAGAATTATTGGAGACCAATAAATAGAAATTAAGAACTTTGGTGGATATTCAGTTTGGTACAATATCGTTGGAGTTTGGTTTGGGATCTGTACTGTAGGATACATCTTAGTCGAGTTCAGAAGTTATGGGTAATGCCACCATCACCAGCAGTGCCATCGTATTTGATTGATAGTTATGGACCCCGAAAGAGAGCCTCTATAAAGGTACGAGAAAGCTGATTTAGTGGTATATGGTCCAAGTGTGGTTGAAGGTATCGAGTCTAGTAAGGAACCTTCAACTGAGGCAATTTGTTGTGTTGTTTCTGTTACAAGGTCTTACTGCCTCGTTTGTTAAATATTGTTGAATTATTTGTGATTGTGCTACTCGTGGTGTAATTCAAGCAACTTTAGTACCCGAGATAATTTTGCCGAGCAGTGATTGGATTCAGTTGATTTAGTTTGTCCTAGTTGGACCTTGTGGATGAGGAGGTGAATTTTTTAGTTGGAGAGTCATTAGTTTATTTCTTGCAGTCGAATTTGTCTTCAGGTGGAGAAATTTTGAAATTGTGTTTGTTGTAGTGGAATTGGTGTCAAGTTTGAGATTTGTTGAATATGAAATTTCGATGTTGGTTTGTGTTTCGGTTGAAAAAAGAGTTAAAGAGGAGTCAAAGTTGACAGTTGAAAGTTTAGAGCAACAATTGGGCACTTGGGCACCAAGAAATGGATTTTGGGACCTAAAGTCAGCACCTGAGCTGCCATTCGCAGCGTAGGGCTGCCACTCGCTTGGCACGAGGCTGCTGCTAGCCTAGGGCGAGGCTGCCACTCTCTATTTAAAAAAGTTTTGTTTTCATTTTTCTGGCTCGCTTGTTATCTTATTTCCGTCTAAAGCATATTCTTTTGGGTCTTATATATACTCCACGAGTTTTATGGCTTTTATGTGACTTTGTGTGAGTTTTAGAGAGTTAGACAATATTGTAAATATAATATTCTTTGTATTATTTCTCCATTATTAGTGAATTCTTCATTCCTCTACCAAAATTTTGTATTGTGATTGCTATTTAATATTGTGCCATGTAATCTTGTTCTTTAATTCCTAACAATGTATTTAACACACGAGGAAATTATATCAAGAATTTTTTGGTGACAACTGGTCTAGTTTGTTTCTTATGGTTTCTTTTTTTGTTGATTTGTCAGGGTTCGTTTCCACTATGGCCATCCGGATGTGTTTGATAGATTGTTTCACTTGACAAGAGGTGGTGTCAGCAAAGCTTCTAAAATTATCAACTTAAGCGAGGACATATTTGCAGGCATCATCATATTCTTACAACAACTCTGATCTAATGTACAGTAGACTTAGGGATTATCTGTTCTCATGCATCTCTTTATTCTGTGAAGGTTTCAATTCCACACTACGTGGAGGAAATGTTACTCATCACGAATACATACAAGTGGGTAAAGGGAGGGATGTGGGCCTCAACCAAATCTCGCTTTTTGAGGCAAAGATAGCTTGTGGGAATGGAGAGCAAACAGTGAGTCGTGATGTTTATAGGCTTGGGCACCGTTTTGACTTTTTCCGTATGCTGTCGTGTTATTTCACGACAGTGGGCTTCTATTTTAGTACCTTGGTACTGTTCAAACCATGTTTCATTTACTTAGCCCTTGTTTGAGCCCTATATATATATATATATTTTTTTTTTTTTGAATAGTGTATTGATGATAAATATGTGATTAAAAAATTAAAAAAAATCATGAATTTGAGTATAATATTATTTTATTAAATAATGTATGATTCAAGTTAAATCACCGTTAAATAATGTATTTTAATAGAAAAAAAGGCTTAAACAAGGGCTTAGCATAATTTTTGAAGTATTTACTATATATTTTTACTTTTAATCACACGAACACATGATGAAATATTCTACACGTAAGTTAAAATTTTTTTTTCTTTTTAATCTCACATTTTTCAAAAAATTACTATTCAAAATATTCATTTTATACCAAAAAAATGTTTGTCAAATAGGGGGCTTAAAATTACATATTAAACACGTATATCAAACACATATCTTGATATCGAGAGTCTTTTTTCAAGTTTTAGTTGAATCCAAATGTAAGATGCATATGTTAAGCCGGGAGCCCCGTCAGTGCCTCGATCCCCGATTCAGTCCGAGTGGACAATCGTCCTATTTACTGTCCCATTTAGATTTTTTATTTTTTTTCATCAGATAGACCTGCTTTGTTGCACAGTTACCCGATTAGTGCTATTTCTAAAATTTTCTCTTTAAATGACATTTCTCCTGCACCACTTCGTTGGGCTTCTTTAAAATGAGTAAACAATCTCAAACTATATAACTGGACCAAAAATAATGTCACTTTGAAGTTCTTTTATTGCTGCAAACCAAGTGATAAAAAATAATATTTGACTATCATACATTTTTATGGTGAATTAAATTTTAATTAAAAAAAAAGAGAGACTCAAAATAAATTTCATCTTTTTGTTGTAATTTTTCATAATTTGAATTCATTCTTCATTCAAGATGCAAATCAATCATATGACGCGAAGTGTAGAATATCGTTACAAATTAATTAGTTGGAAGCATTTGATATGGCCAAATTGATTAGTCATTGAAGCTTTTTCGATAATAAATCAAAAATGAAAAATAAAATCAAGTAGCTATATTGCGAAATCTGTAAAGAATGCAACTCCAACTTAGGTAGCTAATCACAACAACAAAAATGTCAAATTAGCCAAACCTACCATTGCTACCCCACAATCGTTGCTATATTACACAAATAATATAATCGACAAACATGTCCTAAACACCAACAAATACTTCAAACTTGTCCAATTCAATAGCCTGTGGGAAACACGCAATTGCCAAATTCTGCAAGATAAAAAAACAAGCAAATATTCAGTAAAACCCACTAATTCTTAACATCAATCATCCATTATTTTATCGATTAATTTCCAAATTAAGTAGCACATAAATATAATTGTGAAATAATTTAATGTATTTAATTAAAAAATAGAAGGAAAGGATTGAATACTCACTAGGAGATTGAGTGACTAGGTAGGCCGCACCACCAAAATCACAAGAACCGCTTTTTCTAGCATTCTTTTGATAATAACTATTGAACGCGTATGATGCATGGGCATCGAGTGAATTAGGATTATAACAATTCGCACCCTCTTGAATTGGACGGCAATCAGCACCGCCTTCGCCACAAGCATAATCGAGTGCATCCTGTAATTTCTTCTTCCCGGCATCGCCATTGGCCACGCACCATGTCTGTGCCGCCTTACTGGCTGAAACCTCCCCACTTGGCGGTGCCGCCGCAGCTGGAACTTGATTCTTGCTTCCATTTTTCATCGCGGGCTGATGATTCTTTAAACCTTCCAGTGTAAGTGGTATGTCGTACACTTTCTTCTCGTTCGGGTAGAAAAGTCCGTAATTTCTTTCAGAAGTGGGCCCCGTCTTCTGGTTTTCATTGAAGAGGGCAAATAAATAGACGTTAAGAGGCTGGTTGGGCCTCAACGGGGTCCCCTTGCCGGTGAGCACTCTGCGGACAAGGTTACCGTTATACGCCGCCGCATTGGCTGGAGTTGAGCCAACCTCATTTTCATCTCCAGATGAAGGCCACCCAGTTTCAGATATCACCATTTTCAAATCTTTAAATCCCAATGCGTTCATGGCTGCAAAAACGGCGTCGACTTGGGCCTCGAACAGGCTTTTATACACAAGCCCGTTCTTCGGGTCGGTTACGCCTTTGTTATCCCTGAACATAGCGTAGTCTAGAGAAATGGTGTCTGTATTCGCTATGTAAGCGAAAAATGGATACGCATTGACCATGAGATAAGAATCCGTTTGTTTGAGAAAACTCAACATGGGCTTGACTACGGGTTCAATAAGCTCGGATTTGAATGATCCGGATGAAGAAGGGTAGGAAGATTGAAGTGCGCTTAATGCAACAGGGGAGCAGACTTTGATTTTCGAAGCGACGTCGTACTTTGAGAGAGATGCATAAACATTTTTCATGGCGGGTACGAGGAAAGTTGTGGTGTTTTTTGGGTCTACAAAGACTTCGTTACCAACGGCAATGGCGTCAATCAGAGTTTTGGGGTAGTAAGGGATTATGTTGGTCTGGACCCACTTGTCAGTGAAGGATAAGCTACCTGCGGCGGAGGAGAGTTGTTCATTAGGGAGCGCCACCGTGACGGAGATGCCAGAGCCAGAAAGGGCAGAGAGAACGGTGGAATCAGTGTCGTAAAGCTTCACTTTGGTTAGACCTTGCGCTTTGAGGAGTTGCACCACCTGCGGTGGCGATGGGAGGTTGTTAGCCACGCGGCCGTAGTTTATTCCAATTGTGCCGGAGTCACCTAGTGTCATTTGTGCCGTCGATAAAACAAAAATAAAAGTGAAAAAAAGGTGAGAAAAATGAGCCGAAAATGCCATGCTCTGAATCTTGAAAAAACAGAGCAAAAAATTGGAGAAATTGAGGAAGAAGTTGTAAGCAGTATTCGATTGTGTTTCCATGTCTCAACATAGGCTTATATAGGAAAATAGATGCTGGTGAAAACAGATGTGAAAAGGGGAAGTGGGGTAAGTGGAGTTAGGAAAAATGGTAATGTTAGTGGGGGTGTGTGGGTGAGTGGGTATGTGCGTGGGTAAAGGGGTTCTCTTAAATATTTTTACTAAGCATGTAATTAAGATAATTTATCATGGCTAAAGGGGTGGACCGCATTACGATGAGACATTTTACGAATTTTTGGGATTAATGTTATTATTTTTTTACCATTTTGAACGTTGGAGTTGGCATTTGCGTTTATTAGTAATGATAAGATTAGTCTTAATCAGAGAAGTAGGCCAGTGTACGGATCACTGGTGTAACGGGCATAAGATTCATCCTGTGATTTCCAACTTTCAGCTCTGTCGATTGATCTTATCTCTCTGCACTTTTTATCTAAACTAGAACGTTATATTTCGACTAGATAATCAATATTTTAGAAGTGTTCTTAATTGAGATTTTGATGAATTTTAATTTTTTTTATTAATTGATGTATTTCTGATTTCATTAAAATTTAGATGTCCTCAACTGAAATTTTAATAAATTATAATGAAATCGTTTAAATTCTATGGAGATTTATAAGTATTTCGTTAATAAGGATATTTTAAAAGATTTGGATGAATTTCAAATTTCAAATTAAATATAAAAAACTCTTTTGAAATTATCTCATTTTTAATGAGGTTATTATGAACTTCGTGGAATCTATTTAAATCCCTGAAATTCATTAAAATTTATAATATTTCAAAATCTATCAAAATCTCATTTGTGGAAATTTAATCTCATTCTTTAAATTTTTTTTAAACTAAGTTTTAATTATACATATTTTCTATAAAATAATTGTACCCATAAATTTATAATTTTTCATATTTTTTAATCACGGATTTCCAATAAATCACTATTATGAAATATATTAATCCGAAAAATGAGGCTCAAACAGATCCTTAGTGCATGTTTGAACTCTATTTTTTAGAATAATTTTTTGTAAAAAATAGGAAAAAGACATTAAAAGGAACTAATTCTTTTATGTCCTAATTTATTGCTAGTCGGACCCAAATCACTACTATGAGAATCAATGACCGAATGTTTCTATTTTTAATCGTTGTTAATGAGACTTTTCTCGTATTCATGTCCTAAATTCACCAATTGCTAAAGGCATTTTTTAATGGGGGATCCAAGTATTGAAGAGCATAATATTTCATTCTCAATGGTTAAAATCACATAAAATTAGGGTGCGTTTGATTACAAGTAGGAAAATTACATAGAAAGAAAATGAATTCCAAGAAATTGAATTACCTAGAAATTGTTTTCATGGAAATTGTAAATTATTGTGTTTGATTGTATAAATTTTTCACGTGGAAAATGTTGAAGTAAAAGTATTTTTTGATATTCGTTTGACTTTGTTTTACGTGAAAATTGTCAATTTCAGGGATATCCTCTTTTACAATTATTCCTAAAATTTGTTCCCATTGCCAACAATTAAAAAAAATAAAAAAAGCAAAAAAAAAAAGAAAAAAAAAGGTGGAAAACCAAAAACCACCTATCCCCTAGGAAAAAAAAGGTGGAAAATCACGCTTTAAGGTGTTGTACCTAGAAATTCATGGAAAATCAATTCCCTGGAAAATTTTGTCAATCAAACAGGCCAAAAGTGGAAGTTAGAATTCGAATTCCAAATTCCATGGAAAATTTCGTGCAATCAACCGGGCAACAAACATATTTCTCGAAAAAATTTTATAGGAATATTCATTGCAGTAAATTGACTTGTGGCCCTTTTAATTTTTCGTGACATATATACATTGCAATGACATTATGGTTACAATTGTTGTGTTGCAATTTCGTATTTTTTTACATCAAACAAAAAGTGTCACGATTTTGTTAATGGGATAAATGGCCGAAAGTCGTCGCAAAACACATTCTATGACTCATATAGCGTTGTCATACCTTCAACAAAAATATTGTCATCAATAAATTACTTTTGCAACAAAATCTAAATTTTTGCGACAAATTTTTTGGTCACAATTTTTATTTATTTATTTATTTTTTTGTAGTGAATTTAATATTACATAAAGATCCAGCAGACAACAAAATTACATTAGACATAATTCTATAAAAAATAAATGGAGTAGTATTTAGGTGGTTGGGGCATGTATTGATGTATAGACCCAAAGAAACTCTCACTTAAGAAATGTGATTTAGAGACCAAATTAATATGGCATTATATGCAGCAGATGTAGAAGAAAGTCACTAGATTAACGGAATGGCAGAACCCTAATTCATAGTAAATAAAGCTTAGTGCTAGGTTTTTTTTTTTTTTTTTTTTTTTTTTTATTACGAGGTGTCCCAACTTGCACCAGACTAAATCCTCGTCCCTGAACCTCCGGCCCCTCAGCTGCTCAGGGAGGTAAATCGCAGGTTGTGCCCTTGTTGATTCCCAAGTTCCCACATGACTTTTACTCCTTCCCCAAAGGGACCCTCCTCCATGGTTATTACATCACCAAACTGCTCCAACCCTTCCTCTGGTTATTACATCACTTGGCTGCTCCAATCAGGAATCGAACTCCCCACACTTGGTTCCAGAGCCCCTCAATGTGATTGTTCCGCCAACTTGGATGTGCCCTGGGGGCAGATGATACTTTCTTCTTAGATGTATTTAACCAGGCAATTGGGAATATGGGACCATTATGGACTATTTTAGCTGCTTCCCCATTTATTTATTTTTTTTTTTCAATTTTTTCGTCAGAAAGTCAAAAAAAGCAACACTTGTACATGATTTTTTTTTTTCTTCATTTAACCACTGACTGAATAACTCACCTCTTTATCTGAATCATTAATCGAATCATCTGAATACTACCGTAAATGAATATCTAAACCCAACTACAATGAGGTCGGCAGGATTTCTGGGTGCTAAATGGGACAATTCGGAAGCAAGGCGGCGAAGCTGTCGTTGAATTGTAGGACTAATTTATGGGCTTATGAATTATGATTATCGAAAGAAATTATGAAGATTTAAATACATATATGCAATTTTGTGACTCCACTCCCACAGTTAACGTGTTGAATATAAAGAATAACGTAACCGTTATTGATTAATTTTAAATTTTAATCATGAAATTGTAACGTTTTGTTACAATGATTTAAAGTTTCAACGTAGTCATTATATTAGTAATTTAATATATACGTTCGTGATCTAAAATATTTTTTTCGAGTTTCTTCAGAAACACGTCCTTGCATACTTATAAAAGATACATTTTTATGTACAATTAAACATGCTCTTAAAATAAAAGATTCATATTACCGAATAAGAGGTTTTCTAACTCATTTATTCTTGTTCTTTTCCCTCATGTTTTCAATAAAGAGAACTAACCCGACTCACAAAATATGTTAAAAAATAAATGAATAAATTCTATAGTAAAATCACTTGTGAATTCCCATGCTGCAGAAGAAGAATTATCACAAAAATCATTTTGTTCGCACTGAAATATTAAGAAAGAACAACATACGTAAGTCTGCATTCATCAATAATCTAAATATATTATCTGAAAATTCCATACAATTTCCCTCTATTTTAATATCAAGAATCCGTCACTACTATGATGCCTAAATCAAATACTTTGTATCAAAGAATTCCCGAAGCAAATTACACATTTCATTGATCAAAGAAGACAAATTTGACAAAACCTCAATCCTACCTATTTATTTTGAACTGAAAAAAAAAATCCAATTTTATGAACTGGAGAGCATTGTAATGCAGAGTTAAAATTAAAAGAATCTAGATCGAAATCAGAAAATTAAAATTCAGAAACTAAAAGAATCTAATGTAAAATGTAAGTAGCAACAATTGAATTTGGAAATGTACCCTAAAATTTACTGATTATTCTTGATGTGCTTCTATTTCATGTTGATTTTGTAGAAATTGGGTTGTCGTTCTTCGTGAAGCCCAAGTTGAAATGTCCAACCTATGACCCGGTTTAATGGCCCAAAAGACAGAAGAATCTGGAAGCTGAAATTGAATTAAAACAAAACGCGTTTTTCTATTGTGAAATAACAACTTTCACCGGATTTCGACATGTGGTGACCGCTGGACCATTAGATCAAACAATTAGCTTCTCCCATATAAAAGAAGCTGAAAAGTCTAGGGTTTGGGGCTTTTTCATTTTTTATGCACAGCTTCTTTTGAGTTTAAAAATTCTCTTTGTAATTTTTAGTTCTCTCTTCTTAGATCTTGTCGATCTTTTGTTGTTGGTTGAGAGAAAGTGTGATCTAACGAACTCTTGAGTGAGTTCATCGTGTTGTTGAGGGGATTCTTGTTGTTGCTGTGGCTGGAACTGTGTGTTCCATTTGTAACTCGAAGTACTGCTGTATTTTAGGCCGGTGATTTTAGTGGATTCGAGCTTATTCCTTCGTGGATGCTCAACGGGGACTAGGCGATCTAACCAATCGCTGAACCTCGGGGCTACGGCCGAAAAATCGTTTGTGTTCTTTACCGTTTCGTTCAGATCTACAAATCTTGATTTTAGCTTTGCGATTTTTCGATGTTTTCTAAACGTTCCTAGGTACCTACAGTGGTATCAGAGCTTGGAAATATTTTTTTGTTGTTTTTAGTCCCCTTTAGTCGAGGGTCTGAAACTCGAGTCACCGGTCGAAAGGAAAACGACAGGTCTTGAAATATTTGCCAATATTTTTATTTTTTTCTTTTCTCCCTCGAGTAATACTGAAATTTTACTTGGCACTTTTGAGTGTGCCTCTTTCAACTCTGCAGTATTAGTATGGGTGTCGAATTTTTTGAAAGAAACCGAAGCTTCTTGCTTGGTTTTGGAGTTCTCTTAACTTTGGCTGGTACTGTTTTAAAAATTAGATAGAAATTCTTCGTACTGTAGGTGTTGATCTCCTGCAGTGTTGGTGTTGATCTTCTTTTACACAATAAACGAAGCCTATTGTGTATTCTATAAATTTTGCAGTGTAGCGATAACTTTTGAGTATATTGTGA